GGTTGGAGCATCATCCCATACACCAAAAAGGAGCGGGTTCCGTCTCCAGTGAGGGTACACACCTAGGCTTTGGATTGGATCCCCAGTCGGAATGTATATGGGAAGAAATGGATTAGTATTTCTCTCTCGCATTCGTATTCCTCTCTCTCTCCCCACTGTCCCCACTCCTTCCTCTCTCTCTAAAATCAGGAAACATATACTCAGGTGAGGAACAAAAATAAAAAATTACCACCAGTTTAAGGCTTCAGACCACACAAACCCACTCTCTCACGATTCTGCAGTTCAGACGCCCAGGCTCGGCGTGGCTCACTAGGCCAAAATCAAGGGGTGGCCCCGGGCCGCCTTCCTTCCTGAACGCTCTGAGGTGAAGCTGCCTCCCAGCTCATCCGGGCTGTTGGCCGAGCTCAGTTCTTTGCAGTTGTGGGGCCGCAGCTGAGGGCACACCTCGTCCTCTTGCCCTCGGTCTCCCATGTTCAACTCAGCAAGGGCAAGTCAAGTCCTTTTCATTCTTCAAAGCTCCAACTCATCCTTCAGCCACATCACTTCTGCTTCTAGCCAAAGAACATTCTCTGCTTTTAGCCCTGGCTGGTGTGGCTCAGTGGACTGAGCCCCCACCTGCGAACCGAAGGGTCGCCTGTTCAATTCCCATTGTGAGGCAGCAGGGGGCGCTCGAGATGCAACCTCACATTGATGTTTTCCTCTCCCTACCCTTCTCTAAAAAATAAATAAATAAAATCTTTTAAAAAATAAAAAAGAGTGAGGAAAAATACACATTTAAAAAACAAAGAACATTCTCTGCTTTTAAGGGCTCATCTGATTAAATTGGGCCCGCACAGATAATCCAGGGTAAGTGCTCTGTTTTAAAGTCTGTAACCTTACGTACATCTGCAAAGTCCCTTTTGCCATGTAACGTCACCTACTCACATGTCTGGGGGACTGGGGTGTGGGCATCTTTGGGGGAACATTTTTCTGCCCACCACCACCATCCCTCCCCTCCAAGAAGAAAGAGCCCAGGACTCCGTGGACAGAGACCTGAGTTTTGAGCCTGGCTCTCCTTCGTCATGTGAATTCAGGACAGGGATTGCTTCACCTGCCCTGGCCTGTTTTGTCATCTGTAGAATCGGAACACACTAGCACTTATGTCCTAGGATCATGATAAACAGCAACTGCACACTCATGCAAAGGGCTGACAATAATGACGATGTATGGCATATAGCATTGTCATCATTGTGAGCACAGCGCAGGGTCCACAGGGAGCGGGAGGATCTGGTCTTCAACTTGGTAGACCTGGACACTGGATTTTCTGGTCACCTGCTAGTCAACGTGTTGGATCCTGGATTCCAGCCTGGCTTCACCAGTTCCAAAACCCTCCTTACACCAGTAGGTGCTGATCTCTGAGAGGTCCAGCCTCCGTCGGCTCCAACCCCGCTGCCTCTTTCAGTGACAATTCAAGGCTGTTGTCCCTCTGAGTCACTGCCAGCGGAAGGGAAAACCTTGGATTCCAAGAAGATGCTTTTAGCCCTGGCTGGTGTGATTCAATGGATTGAGTGCTGGCCTGCTAACCGAAAGGTTGCCAGTTCGATTCCCAGCCAGGGCACATGCCTGAGTTGTGGGCCAGGTCCCCAGCCGGGGCATGCAAGAGGCAACCAATCAATGTATCTCTCACACATCAATCTTTCTCTCCCTTTCTTTCTCCCTCCATTGCCCTCTCACTAAAGATTTAAACAAAAAAAAAAAAAAATGATGTTTTTGAGGGAATTGCCCTCCGTTCACTTCGGGGGAAGTGAAGCTCCCTGACGTGTGCACAGTCCTCGTCCCATTTCCCCTTTGCTGCAGCCCTGTGAGGTGGGAATGAATGATTTCCATTTCACAGATGTGGCTAACAGATGTCCAGAGAGGACAAGGGAAGAAGATGCAAATACATTCGATGCCCGTGAAGTTCTGGGCACCAGGCAAGTCACCTTCGCAGGACTCTCCCCCAAGTTATTTCCCTCAGTTCCTGGAGGGAAAAACAGCTCAGAAAGGGACAGAGCTGCCCAAAGCTCCGCAGGTTCCCTTGTGAGGGGAAGAGGCTGAGTCCATGAGAGCGAGCTCCTTGGGGTAAGGGCTGTCTCTCACCTGTGAACATGAGCCCGGCCGCATGCTCGCCAGTGCCCTGCGACAGCGGAGCTCCACTCACCTAGTGGGAGGGGCCCACACCGCTCTCTGGTGTGATTGCCGCCCCTGTGCAACCAGCCTGCAGAAGAAAAGCCGAGGGGCAAAAAATAAATAAATAAAAGAAAGCCAAGGGACATAGCCCCCCACCCACACACAGTCCCCAACCCTCCAGTCCCCACCCCCTGCCCTGCAGCAGAAATCAAGTCTTGGGTTCCGGTACAGCAAGGACTCTGCTAAAAGCTCATAATTTCCCATCACCATGGCAACACGAACATCTCTTCTCCCCAGGATAGGAGCAGAGCTGCTCTCCACCGTGCCCCCCCAGCACCTTCAAAGTGCCTTCCATCTCGGAGGTTCTGTGATTCAATTATTATCACCAGTGCCCACACTGTTTTTGTCGTTTACATTTGTTCTGTCTGCTGAGTCACCGAGACCTGCTCCGGATTAGAGTGGTTATTCACCAGAACGTTCGGCCACTTGTTGCCATGGATACCTCACCACTGGCTTCCTTCATCACCTGTTAATTCTCAGAAAAGCTGGCTGTGAGCGTGGGTACCACTGCCCCTTATCCAGGACCCAAGGGGCTGCAAAACTCCTCCCGACCAGGAAGGGCCGTGAGGACGCATGAACAAAAGCAAACCTCTAGTCCCAGCTGCGGAAAGATAAAAAACAGCCTAGAGCTAGTTGCATCCATGCAACCAGGCCCAGGCAGCATGTTATCAAACAGGTCAACAAAACATTCCATTTGGTTTTCTAGAAGAGCATGGACAAACCCTTTAGTCTTTTTGCTAACCATTTTTTAATTTTTGTTCATTCATTCATTCATTCATTCATTCATTTTCAGAGAGAGGAGAAGGGAGGGAGAAAGAGAGGGAAAGAAACATGGATGTATGAGAGAAAAACCGATCGCAAGCGCTCCAACTGGGGACCCGGCCTGCAACTGAGGCAGGTGCGCTGACTGGGATTTAAACCGGTGGCCTTTTGCTTTTCCAGGCAACGCTTGGCCAACTGAGCCACATTGGTCAGGGCTCTTTGCTAACCGTTTTAAGATGTATTTTTATATTGAAAAGCGATAGGTGCACTGTGCAGATTACTGTCCCCACATGAGCCTCGAAGTGCAGGAGCCTCAAGGACTTGGCTCTAGGTAGGGGGTTTGCAAGAAGTGGGGGATGAGGGCCAGACCTGGGGAGACACAGAGGTAGCTGCAAGCTAAATCCAGCCCAGCAGGGTGGGCACAAGGAGAGGGGGCGATACTCAGCGGTTTCTGAGAAAGGGCAGGTGAAAGGGGCTAAGAGCCAAACAGGACGCAGCACGAGGCAGAGCGAGCGAGGCCATCAGCCCATGGCCCATTGCTTCTGATAACTATGGCACGTCCTGTTTGCGGAGGCCTGCAGAAGGGACAGGGGATCGATACATCACTCTATCTTCACACACACCCTGATCCTCAAACATCAATATGTAGTGAAATATGCTTTCTCTATATGAATCTAAGGTCATTTGGTCCATCTGTCTCACCTGCCCCCCAAATAGGAAGTAGTCTGAGGGAGGAGCAATAGGTCTCTGACCCCGAGGACATGGTGGGGACACTGTTCCTGACCCCAGGGAGCCTGTCTCCTGCCTGCCTTCAGGCCCAGCTGAAGAACTGCCTCTAGCCTGCGCCTGTGCCCACCATGGAGTCAACTCTCTTTCCCTTCCCCCATATCCAGATGACTGACTCTAAATGGCAGGGCGGGGCAGGGGTTCCTGCTCTTGCCGTGGGGATTCTAGCCTCCTGGGGGAGGAGGGTTTGGGAGGGGCCTTGAGGGCTTTATAAGTCAGGGCTGGAGCATCCAGCCCAGCAGAGGACCCAGAGGTACCCAGACAGACCTCGGCATCGCCAGACTCCCAGCTCGGCAGGTAAGAGCACCCAGGATGGGAGTGAGAGGCTGGGAAGAGGGTTGATGGGACCGTCACCCTGTCAAGGTACCTGGCTCATAGCTGGGTGTCTCCAGAGCTGGAACCCTTCCCTTAGCCCAGGGCTGGACAAGGTGTCAGCACCAGGACCCATGCTGGCTTCCCAACCCTTGCCTTCGAGCTGACTGGCTGCTTCACCCAGGGCCCAGCCCTGACCCTCTTACTCCATTCTCATCCCAGCTCTGGGAGGTGGGAAGGGCAAAGGCTAGTCTCCCCTCTCTCATGTGAGAAAACCAAGGCCCAGAGGGAGAAGGGACCCAAATTACTGGGCAAGGCTGGGACAGGAGCCCAGGGTTCCTGGACCCCATCTCAAGCTCTTTCCTAGAACAGCACTTCCTAAAAGAACTTTCCGTGATGATGGTGATGTTCTATATCTGCACTGTCTGACACAGTATGTACCAGCCACACGTGTGCTGGAAATACGGCTAGTGCAAGCGAGGACCTGTTTATCTTAATTAATTTAAGTGTAAAGAGCCACATGGGGCTTGCGGCTGCCATTCTGAACAACACACGCAGCTAGTGTTGGGCACGGTGAATGTGCTGGAGGTCTCCAAAGAGATCCCGTGAGAACATCCACACAGCAGACTGCGTATGTTCCTTTGGTATTACTTTTAAAGTCCACCTTAAATTTCAAGACTAAAACATCCACAGAGCTGCTCACATGGCCTCAAATTGTGCATAACAGTTTAGACACCGTTTCTCTAGGTTTTCATTTCCTCTGCGAAGAGCAGCCGCTGGAATTACGTAGGTAAGGCGGGAAGAGGCAAGGCTTGGGGGCAGGGCGAGCCGCCAGGAGCAGTTCACAAGCCCTCCCCGAACTGCAGACCTGCCATCAGGGTGGCCAGGCGGCCCCACCTTTAAGCTTGGCCCCGCTCTCCTTGGCAGACAAGATGCAGCGACTGTGTGTGTGCGCGCTCATCTTGGCACTGGCTCTGGCCACCTTCTCCGAAGCTTCTTGGAAGCCTGGCTCCCAGCTGCAGGATGCACCGTCCGGTCCAGGAGTCCATAGGGGCCTGGATCTACATTCGTTGGACCGGCTGGGCCCAACCTCTCACCACCAAAGGCAGCTGAGGTTCCAGGGTTCCCCAGACCTGGTGGCAGGTAGGACCTGCTGACAGCTGTCCCTGCTCAGTTTTGGCCCTGGCCTCTGTCCCAGAGGCTGGGTGTCCTGCCCCGTCCTCACCTCCTCTCCCACCTCTGACCCTCAGACCTGTCCAAGAAGCAGGGGCCATGGCTGGAGGAAGAAGAAGCAGCGTATGGATGGATGGACTTCGGCCGCCGCAGTGCCGAGGAGGGGGACCAGCATCCCTAGAACCCCTAGAACGGAACTTCAGAGCCCATCACCTCCCAGCCCAGACCTGGCCCCAGGAAAAACCAATCAAAATAAACTAGCTTCCAAAGGCTCGCGTTGTGTCAAGAGTCATGGGGCAAGGGAGGGGCGTTGGGGGCAGGGGTGAGGCAGGGGAGAGAGTTGAGCAGCCCTCCAGGGGCAGGGATCTCAGCTCTTCCTTCTTGGTGTCCCCAGAGCCTCACACTGAACAAGCATCTCCACGTGTGGGTGGGAGAACGGAGGGTGGAGGTTGCAACCAGAGGAAGCTTTTTGAAAAGAATAATCCAGTCAGGTCACTCCAACCTTCCCGTGCTTTCCACTGCACAGAGAATAAAATCTATGCTCCTCGACAAGGCTCTAAGGGCCAGCCTTCATGGCGGCCGCCGTCCTGGGCGCCCCATTTCTCCCTCCTCGCGCATCCTTTCCCTAACACAAATGCCCCACGCTCGTTCCCGCTCGGATCATTGGTCCTGGCGTCCCCGCCCCCAAGCAAAACTGTGGCTGGCTGCTCTTTTCCCCCTCCTCCCCCTCCTCCCCCTCCTCCCCCTCCTCCCCTCCTCCCCCTCCTCCCCCTCCTCCTCCTCCTCCTCCTCCTCCTCCTCCTCGCCGTGGTTGAAACGCCTCTTCCGGAGAGACCTACCCTTTCGGTCCCTCGCCCTCCACACACGGCCGCCATCATCCTCTCAGTGCGGCATAGTTATTTTCTACAGTGCACATGCCGCAGTCTATAGCTGTTCAGTTTGCCAGTTTTTTATCAGCCTCCCCAGTCAGAAGGGAAACTGTAAGAGTGGGAACCATGTGTCCCTCTTCCCTGCTGTAGCCCCAGAGCCAAGAGCAGGAGGCACCCAATGGTTGTCTGTCAAGTGGGCGAGTGGCTGGCGCCGGCACCTGTGGCCGTTGCACCCAGAGCCCCTCACTGCGCGTGGGTCTGTGCGAGGCACCCTCCCAGGGGCACACGCCGCTCTCCCCCGGGGCTTTCCGAGTACAGGGCAGGCTGGCAACGCTGGGCAGTCAGTGCCTCCGGGGGCGCCCCCAGTCCGGTCCGTGGCAGACGAGAGTTGGAGGGGAACTGCCGGGCAGGCCCGGGGGGCCGCCAAACTTTCTCTAAAAGGGTCACACGGAAAATATCTTGGCCTTGCAGCCGAAGGGGCAAAATCAAGACAAGTGTGTCAGTATTCAAATAAACATGTAAAATGTCATTATTTAAAATACAAAAACCATCCTTTGCTTGCAAGCTGTATGGAAATAGGTGATAGGTGAGACTTGGCCCCTGGCTCAGAGGGTGCTGACTCCCATTCCAGGGCATCTGCGTGCCATCTGCAGAAGAGCATTCCTGACTATTCAAAAAGCCACTCCTGGCCCTGGCTGGTGTGTCTCAGTGGATTAAATGCTGGCCTTCGGACCCAAAGGTCATTGGTTCGATTCCCAGTCAGGGCACATGCCTGCATTGCAGGTCAGGTCCCCAGTTGGGGGCGTGGGAGAGGCAACAGATCGATGTATCTCTCCTTCTCTTTCTCCCTCCCTTCCCCTCTCTCTAAAAATAAATAAATAAAATCTTTAAAAAAATAAAAATAAAAAGTTATTCCTGGCTTCCTCCTGAGCCCTGGTAGGGAACGAGCTTGACCATTGGACATGAAATTACTACGCGACCAGAGTGGCCCATCATGAGCTGGGTATTTTCAGACCCAGCACATCACAAGGTGGGGTGGGACAGCAGAGATTTTATTTAGGATATAAATGGTGAGTTTGAGATTGGGCCTGCGGAGGGCCGGTGGGTACGAACAAGTCACTCAGTCACCCACACCCCCAGGCAGCTACGTCCACCGCACCTCCCCTCAGCTCCCCCCACCCCTGGCTCCGCGGCCTCATTGGATGCTCCCTAGGGCCAGCTCACAGATGAGGAAGAACCCAGGCCCAGGTCACAAATGGGAAGGCTTGGTAAAAACTGGAAATGGACTGCTGCTGAATTCAGGCCCACTCGGGGTCGGCCCCAAACACGGTGCTGGGGGACAGTTCTTCCAGTGGGTAGTTTCCAGTAGTAGATCCTGCTCATCAACTCGGTGTGGAGGGAGAAGCGGCCTTGGGGAGGGACACACACAGACTTCTGGGCAGTGGGAGACAGCGCCCCTGGCTGGTCAGGGGGACTTGGAGGAACAAGGTTAGAAAGTGAGAGATGAAGACTTCTGGCAAGGAGGCAAGGGGAAGGGTCTGTGATGGACAGGACACAAAGCGCGCCTGTCCAAGGGCGGCCACCTGGACAGCCAGGCAGACGGGGCGGCTCAGGTAATGAAAGCCAGCCAGCCAGAGTCTTCAGCCACTCCACACTTGCACTGTGGACCCACGAACACAGTGACGATGGTGGCGGAGACAGGTTACACATGGGTCTGACAGCCAATCGAACTGCTGCCTCTGCTGAATAACTGACCCCTCAGCCACAGAGACCAGCTCTGAGTCCTTGATGTAGGATCATGCCTCAAAGTGACCCACAAGCTACTTGTTGGTCGATTGATTCCATCAGATACCTTCCCTGGAGGCATTGAGCCATCCTTGTGGGGACTGGCACATGGTCTAAGTGTGGGTTTGCCTTCCTGCCCCCAGTGCCTCCACCAGTGCTACAGAAACACAGAGCATCTCAGGATTTGCAGTGCGTGCTTGCCATCACGAAGCCTCATAAAACATGACCTCAGGGGTCTGCTCTATAGTGAAAAAGGTCCAGCCATGAGCACGTGACCTTGGGAGGTCCTCTTGTCCTACCATATATGACGTTGCCCAGAAACTGCATGTCTGATAGGAAGCTGGAATCCAAAGGTGAAGCGAAGGCCGTGGCCTGTGTGGCTCAGTTGGTTGGAGCATCTTCCCGGAAACCGAAAGGTCGCATGTTGGATGGGTCACTTAACCTGCCTGGGCCTGTTCCCTCATCTGAAAACCACCCCCTGACAGGGGCTGTTGATGTGATTATTATGTGTGATCGAAGCTCTTGGCACATCATTTGATATTGGAGCCCATCCTCTCTCCCCAACTTTGCCCTGGCAAAGTACATTCGTGCGCACACACCCATGCACACAGGCTCCCTGAGAAAGAGATCTGGAGACGGGACCAGATGGCACACAGGTACTTTATTTCCTGCACTGGCACATACACAAGCTGACAAGCAACAGCAGAGTGAGAAGCGCTGCAGGGAGCAGGGCAGGTACCAGTGGGGGTCCTGAGCCCCTGACTCCAGCTGTTTGTAAGTAAAGGGTGGGAAATGGGAGAACATCTGGAAGGAGGAAACAAGGGCACAGAGCAGGGGACAGCTGGAGGGAGGGGCCGGGCCTCAGGCAGACGCCTGGACAAGCAGAGGCCAGGCAGAGGGTGCGGGTGGGAAGGCACAACACTGTGCCGAGGGACGCCCCACCCACAGGTAGAAACACTCCAGTAATTAGGGACTGAGAAGAAAGGGCCAAGAATGGAGGTCCCTAAAAGTCAGCAAGGACTCAGGAGCCACCTTTAACTTGGGAGTCAAGGAACGGAGGGCCTTTCATTAGGAGGGAAATCAGAATCACGTCCTGCTGCCAGGGTCTGCGCCGGACCCCCAGCTCAGAGCTGGGTCTGGTAGCTGGTGGGCCTCCCCCGGGCTCCCCTTGCCCCCGCGGCCACCATGTGACCCAGGCCCAGCAATCACAGCTTTTGCGCCAGCTGCGGAAGGAGGGCTGGGGTTCCCTCAGCCTGTTCCGGAAGAGGGTCAACGCTTGGGCCCTCAAGCTCCCACCCAGGGTCGTCAGGACAGAGGGTGGGCTGGTGACAGGCAGGGGGTCCCGTTTCAGGGGATGGGAAGGAGGGTCTGAGGGGGCTGGGACTTGGCCAGGCAGCGGAAGAAGGGGCCTCAGGCTGTCTGTGGGGCCTCTGCAGGCTGCTGGGAAACAGCAAAGCCTGGAAGAGAAGGGGTGCATGTGAACGGGGGGCCGGAGGACCGCAGGCCTGGCCGGGGCCTGGTCAGCCGTATCAGGCACAGACAGCCACCGCTGCCAGTTACGCAGGTGTCCCACTGCCAGAGAGGTCGCCGTTCAGTTTACAAACTGCACAGCCTTTCCTGGTGACCCCAGTGAGGCCACCCCTGGTGATCAAAGGGCCATCTGAGCGGGGACCGTGCAGATATTAATAGCAAAGCTGCCAAGAGGTTACAAACACCACGGCCGACCCAGCAGGCCAGGCAGGCATCGGACGGGGTCAGAAGAGAGGGGCGGCTGCACCGCGCCCGTCAGGGCGTAGCAGTGAAGAGCCGGGGCTCAGACCCACCCTAGCTGTGACCTCGGAGTCACTTTCACTCTTGGAACCTCAATTGCGTCACCAAATAAGTGGAGATGATAATACCTACCCACAGGGGTGTGAAGATAAGATTAAAGAAGATAACTTGTACCAGCGAATCATCTTTGCTGTGTCTGTGAGCCCCCTGAAGGCAGGGCTCCCACAGCCTAGCACTACGCCTGCACTCAGCAGGGGCAGGTCCCCAACCTCTGGCGTTCCTACCTGGGAGAGGAGACCCTGACCCCCACCCTGTAGGAGGCCCTAGCCCACCTTCAGACTCACCCAGGGTCCTGGTCCGACCGCTGCCCTTGTCGGCAGAGGCCTCTGTCCCAGTGGCCTGGGCGGCCCCAGAAGGCCCCTCTCCCTCCCAGGCCACGGGAGGGTGGCTGGCCCTGTCCTCCTCCAGCCTTGGAAAGTCCTCAGTCTGCACCCAGGGCCGCTGCTCCACGATCCCGCCCCCCATGTTTGATTTGGCTTCCTGCTGCCACTGCTGTGGGGCTGGGGAGCCTTGGGGGTAGGGGAGGTAGAACGAGGGACGGGGGAAGGGGGTGGGCAGAGACAGGAAGCTGAGGCGCAAGGGAAGCTACAGTCCTGGCCCCGACCCCCAGCCCAGCCCCCAGGAGAAAAGGGGGTGGAGATCTGGAATCCTATGCAATTCCATATAAATGAGCATTGGGGCCCGGTTCCAGCTGAGGGGGCTTGAAGTGCCTATGCAAATGAGATACAAAGTCCATGCAAATCAGCACACTGGGTGGGGCCAGGCTGGGGTAAGTGAGCACTTGGGGGCTCACCTACCCTCACCTTTCAGCGGCTTGACGTTCTGCAGCTTGTCCGGCTGGCTGGAGGGAGGCCCCCATGGGAGCACTCACCTTTCTGGAGCGTCTTCTGCCTTGGCTGCTGCTGCTTATAACCAGCGTCCTGCCAGCTGGCCAGTTGCTGGAGGACGTACTTCGCGTCCAGGTGCGAGGGGCCCAAGCTTCTGGCCTCCAGGGCTGAGGTCACCACATTCTTCCGAGTTGCCTCATCCAGTTCCGGCTCCACCTCCTCCCAGGCCTCTTCCGTCGGCCCCTCCTCAGCTGGCACTACCTCTTCTGTGGCCCCCAGCTCCTCCATGGGCATGAAATCCTCTTCTGTCATGGATCCCTCCTCAGACTCGGACTCCTGCTCCTCACTGGGCAGGGAGACGGGAGAGGCTTGCCATGCCCCCCGCAAGCCAGGCCCAGCCGGAGCCCCCAGCCCTGCTCTCCCACTGCCCCCCACATCACCGGCCATGAGGGCTGAGGAGCAATCCCACCCTCTGCTCAGTCTACACACAGACCCAAAATGACCACACAGGTTGGTCCCAGCCAGGAGGGAGGGGAGCTGGGTGCCAGCTTCAAGGCCCAAGCTCCCAGCAGGAAGGAGGAAGGATGGTCTCTAACACTGCGTAGGCCCGGCCCTCCCTCAGCCCCCTGACCCTACCGCTCAGCAGAGACAAACAGGGACGATAATGCCACCACCCCCTCTGACATTATTTAACCTTTACACCCCATCCCACTGCTAGTTGTCATAGGAACAAATCCATTTTAGTAGGGCTCAGACAGGTCAAGAGACTTGCCCAGGGACACACAGCCAATAAAGGAATCAAAACTGGGACTCAGTTCCAGGGGTTCCTAGTTCCTAGACCAGGGCCCTCTCAGCCCCTGGTTGGGTAAAGGCAAGGCTTCGGTCTCCACTAGGAGCTGCCTTAAATCATGGGCACCAATGGGGCAAGATTTGAAGTAAAAAGAAGCAGCTCCTTCCCAGAACAACTTCCCACTCAGCAGAGATCTGGGCCTTGTCCAGGGCCATAGGGTCGCGGAACCAGCCTCGGGTAGCTGTCTGGCTGCTAAAAGGTGAGGGAAGGTGATGGGGGAGCCCCTGGCTGGCTTACCTCAGGTTTAACGTCTCCTCTGATTTCATTCCATAATTCCTTCAACAGAGAGACGGGCCATCACTGTCCAAGTCAACGGAAGCTAAAACCGCAAAGTCCCTGGGGCCCCAGTGGGCAAAACCTCCCAGGGAGAACTGAGGAGCCCAGGCCCAGACCGGGTGGACAGAGAAAAGGGTGGGGGAGTGGGAGGGGCTGGGCAGCCAACAAGGTGGGGTGAGGAGGCCGAGGCGGCACTACCGGTGAAGGGACGTAGAAGCAGGAGGGCAAACCCCTCCCACTACAGGAAAGGCAAGAGTGAGAGAGGGTCAGGGGTCAGCAGGGCCTGGGGGTCCAGCAGCGTACCTTTCCATAATAAAATCAGGCTTTGGGGCCATATTCCTCATACATCTTCTGAGCGTCTCAGCCAGGGATGCCTGGAATTCTGGAATTGCCTCCTATAGAGGAGGGGGGACATTACCCGAGGGAGCCCACCGAACGCCACCCACACTTCCAGGCACAGAAAGGGACTGAGGACAGATAGAGATCATCAGCAGGGCTGAGACGCAGGGGACACGAGTGAAAAGGCCGCAGGCAGGGGGTCCTCACCAGAGGTATGGTGTACGTATAGTGAGTGACAGGGCCCGTGGGCTCTGGGATTTGCTGGCGGAAGGTCTTCGCATCTTCCTGGTCCTCAGTCAGTGTGCCCCCACACTCCACGTACTTCTCCCGAAGGTCCTGCAGCTGGAACCCACCCGCAGGTGCTGTTGGGACCCAGGCACACCCAGCCCACTGTCTCCCCGGGGTCAGGAAGCTGGGCAAAGAGGCAAGAGGCCCAGACTCTAGACCCACAGGATGTGCAGGGTGACCCTAGGCAGGCCCCTGGAATCCACTCCACTCCACTCTGGCTCCAACTGAACTCCCATCGGCTAGGCCCAGTGCCAGACACTGAGGGCAAAGAGAGAGGCAGACCCACCCCTGCTGTGAGGAGCTTGCCCTCTCGGGAGGGTCAGGGTCAGAGACTCTCAAGGACTGGGGCGGGAGCCCAGTGTGTGTGGGGGGCGGTGTGGGGCGGGGGGCGGTCTCACCTTGTCTCGGAGCTGCATCTGGATTTTTTTCTCAAAAGCCAACTGCTGCTGCAACTTCTCAATCTCAACCCCATACTGGAAGAAGCCAAGACGGGTGAGCCTCACCCTAAGCCTCCCACAGCCACGCACCCCCTGTTTTGGGCAAGTCTTCCCAGGCACACCAGTGAGTCTTTGGCAGTCTTTTAAATAGGAAGTTACACGAAGTCAGGCCAAATAGGGAGGAAGTGGGGATTATGTGGCCTGATTCCTGGAATGTCTTGGTCCTTTCCTTGGGATGAGGGAACAGGATCGGGGGCTCTCCGAGGTCTGCTCCGACTCTGTCTCTGGCCTGGGGCCTGGCTGAGCTGAGAGCTCCAGGAGGTAGGGGCAGGGAAAAGGTGCCCCGGGTCCCATGGGGCCATGACACGAGGAGGGAGCCCCACTCACACCCTGACGTACCGACTGGCAGCACTGCTGCAGGCTGGTGACCTGGGCCCGCAGCTGGATGACCTCCTTATGCTGCCGGTCATAGTTGTCCATCCTGAACACCAGCACCTCCGACAGCTCAGCCATCTGCTGGCTGGCCTCCGCTGGGGAGAAGTGGGGACAGGGGGTCAGTTCTGGTCCTCCCAGAGGCCTCTGTCCACCGCCACCCTCAGCTCCTGCAGAGTACCCTTGGGCCCACTGGGGTAGCATTTCCAACTCAGGTCTCCTTTCCTATAAACCTTTATTGACTGGCATGGAGCAGGGCGCTGGGTGAGCAGTCAACAAGACCTGGTCCCAGCCCACACCGAGCTCAAGTCTAGCAGGGAGACTGATGGAAAAAAGAAATCACAATGGCATGCACTACCGGCTGTGATGGAGCAGGTGTGAGGGATGCATCAGGGGCCACAGCTGTGGTACCCAGCCTGGCCTTGCTTGCAAACTCTTCGAAGCAAAGACCTCCCCAGGGCAAAGGGGGCTCAGCCAGGTAGAGGGAAGATATGGCTGAGGTAGGGTATGGGGAAGCCCAGAGGCCATCACAAGACACTGGGACAAAGTGCCTGGGGCAGTGGGCAAGGCCCAGACCTCCGAGGCTGGGTGGGGAGGCTTGGCTTTATCCTTTGGCCAATGGGAAGTTATATGGAGGGTTTAGGAAGAAGAGTGACATAGGGAAATATGCTTTTAGAAAACTCATTTGGGCCCTGGATGGTGTGGCTCAGTGGATTGGGTGCTGGCCTGCGAACTGGAAGGTCACAGGTTGGATTCCTGGTCGGGTCCTCAGTTGGGGGTGTGTGAGAAGCAACCACACATACTGATGTTTCTTTCCCTCTTTTCCTCCCTTCCTCTCTCTCAAAATAAATAAATAAATAAATAAATAAATAAAATGTAAAATTTGGAGGAAAAAAAAGGAAAACTCGTTGAGGCTGTGCGCAGAAGGGCCTGAGTGTGCATAGAAGGGCCTGTGAGGCAGGAGTGGGGGCAGGGAGACCAGCTAAGAGGTGGCCTGGGCTAGAGGCAGCTGGGGTAGGGAGGAAGGGAGACTTGAGCCTTTCTTAGGAGCAAGAAGCAACAGATGTGAGGACTGGTTCCTACTTCAGGGGTCTGGGGACCCTTGGGGCCATTCAGGGAGCTGGGGAACCCAGGGACGAGAGAGGTGGGGTTTGAGGTAAGGGGAAGAGCTGTTGCCACCTTGAGTCTGCATCTTTGCAGCCAGACTGAGCTCTTCAGGGACAAATGCTGTGCTTCAGTCATCTTCACAAATGCACAGAGCCAGGCTAAGCCCCTGTCCAGGGAGGAACTCTGAAGTGTCCCAGCCCCAGTGCCCTGCGGTGCCTGGTTTCTGGAAGTTCACAGCTCCCTCCCTTCCAGCCCCCTCCTCCCCTTACTCCAAATAACAAAAGGGGCCTGGCTTAGAGGAGACCCACAGCCTCTGTATAGCTCTTTACAGTTTGCACAAAGCATTTCCTCAGCTGTCGCCCCTGGAGACGTCAGCAGGGCCGAGACTATTAATCCCCCTTCTGAAAATGAAAGTTCAGAAAGATCAAGCCACTTGTCCAAGCTCACACAGATAGGAAGTGCCAGAATTGGGACTTGAACTCAGGTCTCGGAGTCCTGAGTTCTGTCCCCTGCTCCAAGAAACAGCCCCCTACCCCAAGTTACAACTTCACCTACCAAACTGCTCCACACATTCCAGAATAAGCATCTCCTCCTCCTCAAGGACATCAAGTTGAGAGGCCTGGAAAGAGGGACAGAGAGGAAGGAGCAGCAGAGTCACCGCCCCCTGCCCGCAGGGTACCCTTCTCCCCTCCTCACCTCCTCTCTCAGCTGCTCGTTCTCCTCCTCCAGCAGCCTCAGCTGCTCCTGCAGGGCTTCTAGCTGCGGGCAGTGGTGCTGCGGCTCCGACTCGGCTGCAGGTGTCCTAGGGGGGAGTGATGGGAGTCAGGGTGCTGCCAGGGGTCGGGCTGGGGAGGAACCCGGCTCCCAGGCAACCTGGGCTAAGTGTGGCATCTCCGTTAGTCCCGGAAACCCTACTGGCAGGTACACTGTCCATCCACATCCCTGTTTGCAAACAAGGAAACTGAGGTTGTCCAGGTGCAAAGGCAGGACACTCACAGCTCAGGGGCTTCATAGGGATGATTATGCTGCGGCTCCTCCTTTTTCTTCTTCTCTTCCTCCCTCTCCTCCTCCTCTTCTTCCTCTTTGTCTTCCTCCTCCTCCTCATCATCAGAGTCTGAGTAGAGCTGAAGGAGGTCATCCCGCAAGCTCACCTGGTGTCTCAGGTGCAAAATCTGGAAGGGGGGTTGTAGACCTGGGTCAGGGCGGGGCACAAGGGGGTGCAAGTAGGCCTGAAAGGGCACACCCTCACCCCCTCTCCCTGCCCAGTTACCTCCTCCCTGGCCGAGCCCAGCATGGCTTCCAGCTTGCTGTTCTCCTCCATGAGATCACTGTTCTGTTTCACCAGGGACTGGCCTATGCGAGCTGCTGTATTCAGGTCCCGCTCTCTCTGCAGAGGAGCCATCCATGGGAAATAAATTCCTGGTTTCTGGGACCTCCCAGACAGGAGGGAGACACTAGGGAGCACACAGGGCTCAGAGGGAAGCGAGGCCACCCGGTGAAACCCTCCCCATCCCCTGATTCCCCAGAATACTACACAAGAGTCTCCCATTCACCCGCTGTGGGGCCTGGCTCAGTTACCCCTTATGGACAAAGAGCAGATCAGACCAGATGGCTCTAAAAGCTCTTCCAGCCTGGACCTCTTACATTTACCTGCCTTCCATAAGAGGGACTCCCAGAGTGGCCCCCTAGGGAGGGAGCCAGGTAGGAAACAGACAAGACCCCCACCCTGCAGGACAGAATTCAAACGGGGGCCTGGCTGAGGTTTGGACGGGTGACCAGGCAGGGGAGGGAAGGCAGCACACCTCCTGTAGCACGTTTAACATCACTTTGACATCTTCTCGGGTGATCTTGTCTGACAGGGGCTGGTCAGAACACAGCGCTGCAAGAGAAAGTGGAACAGCCAGGTCAGGGAAAGCGGGGCGTCGCTACCCTGCACCCACGGTTCCCTGCCCTATCCCCATCCTCCCCCAACAACAAGGGAGCAAAAGACAGAGCACCTTCCTGTTCCCATTATCCTCTCCATACGCGCCAGTACTCAGTACTCCCTTCCCTGCTCCCAGAGCCAACTGCACTGCCTGCCTGCCTGCCTTCCTACTTTTTTTTTTTTTTTTTTTACCCCCCTGGTGGGGCCCGAGTGAGGTAAGGAGATCACAGTCCTCCAGGCTCAAGTGGAAAAAGGGTCTCAGGATGCTTGGGTCCCCGGCACTAGGAGAGCCGAGGCGGCTATAGTGCAAGTGCGCAGCACACTGACTCATCGCCCCTCAGCGGAGGGGAGCCGTGACCAGCTCAGCGGAGCTTCATGGGCCATAAAAACAGGCGCAGTCACCCACCCCGCACCTGTTGCGCGCGGAGAGGAGAGGGAACGAGACTTCTCTGGCACTGGAGTAGGGGCACCTGAGCCTCTAGACCCAATCCAGAGCTCTCCCGAGACCCAGAGAAGGATGCGAGGGAAAAGAAGGGGCGGATTCTGCCTGACGCCCCCCCTACCCCCAGGCTGGGAGGGGGTGGGGGGAGCCGCCCCTTAACCCCCAGCAGCCAAGAGGTTGGCAAAACCTCCCCCGCTGCCCACCCACCTTCCGGCGGCGGGCGCTGCGGGGCAGCGCAGGCTCAGAGCGCGCCGGGCAGTGCCCTCCCGCAGCCCCCGCCCCTCTCCTGGCACTGCGGTAGACCCGGGAGGTGGGCATGAAGGAGAGTGCGCAGATCTGCCGCAGCAACAGGCGCGCGGTGGGGGCGGGGGAGCGCGCGGGCCCCAGGACCGGATCCACTGACGGCAACCAGGGACCGAGAGACAGGGAGGAGGTGGGAAAGGGGCGACCGGGCAAGCACTGCACACAGCGACATCGGTTGGGGGGGTAGAGGGGTGCCAGGGGGAGCGGAGCGCCGGACCCGACGGCGCCCCCTCCTCCCTGGAGCTGCCCTAGTCCCACCCGCTTCGGGGTCCCGGGACCCGGTTTACCTTCCTCCAGCTCCCGAATAAAGGTGGCACGCTCGGGGCTCGATACTCCCGACCACCGGCCGAAGTAGGCAGCCGGCGTCTTCCAGATTTCCGCCGCCTTTCCAGTCCCCAGACCAGTGGCCTGAGGATCAAGAGGCCCTTGGGATTTGACGCGGGTCCCCGGCGCGTCCGAGTTGCTGGGCACAGACTCGGCATTCTCCTGGACGGGCGAGAATGCGGACGCGCCTTGGGCTCCCGCCTCTGATCCAACCTCGGAGGCTGGGCAAGCTCCGCCTGGGGGTCCCGAGACGGATGGGGACCCGGATCCTTCTCCCTGTCCCGCAGCGGGTGCCCGCTCAGGCGCGGGTTCAGGCTCGGCGGAGGGCTCTGGAGCGGGACTGGCTGCGGGCGGGGGTGCGGGGGTAGTCGCCGGGGAATCCCCGGGCCCATCCCCGGCGGAGCCCTGCCCCGACTCCTTTGGGCGCATCTTGGGTCCGTAGTCGGCTGCCAAGGCTCGGCCTTTATAACCTGCTCCTGGCTGGCCGCCCGCCGGGCCGAACCACGAGCAAGAGGGGGCGGCCGAGGAGCAACTGGTGGTGCTCAGGACCGGAGCTCGCGCGGGGACGAGCTAATGGTGGCGGAACAGGGCGAAAAGAAAGAAACGAAGAACAAGAAGGCTCGAGCTGAGGTTCCAGCAGGTTCCGTGGGCTTGGGTCTGAGTGCAGGGCTTCTCCTCCCCTCTCTACCTCCCGAGAATGGTTCTGCCCAAGACCGCGGTTCTTGGGGGGACTCGGAGGTCCTTAACGGGGGGCTCCCCCTCCCCCCTTCTCTTCTGGGTCTGGGCTGCCTTCCCTGAAGTTGACCTGTGAGTTAGGGCCCCACTGTGTCTTTCCCCGAGGGTTGAGAGATCAACCCAAACCCCAGGACGGTCTCCACGCGCTGCGCAGCCTGGCGCGTCACACACTCACTAGTCCTCGCGTTCACACCGTCGTACTCCAGCCCTCGACAGCCCTCTTTCTTATTCCTTCATGCGCCTTATTGCCCTTCCTCGAGATTTACCTCCAGCCCGCCTTCAGTTTACCCACCTCTTTCCACCCCGGCGAACACCTGTTCTTCCCGGAGACCCCGCTTGGACGTCTCCGGGCGAAGGCGGCCCCGACGCCGTCCCCCAGCGCCCCGAGCGTCTCTGAGGAGAAGGCCAGCCGCGGGCGCAGTGTGGCCGCAGCGCTTTGGCGCAGGGCGCCTGTCCCTCCGCGCCCAGCACGGGACGGTGCCTCCCGGGTCGCCCTAAATCCTGCAGGGAGCAAAGGAGCCCAGTGGCCACTTTTAAGCCTTGGGACTGGAGGAACCTGCAGGCCATTCAAAAAAGAGATGGCTGTGACACTGATTCTTTTAAAACTTTGGGATGGTTCTTGGTGCCTCAGCACCCAGTACCCCATCAGTCACCAAGTTTGGCTTAATTTACCTCCTAGATATTTCTGGCGTCTCTCCCCTTCAGCTCTTCTGCCGTTGAGGCCTCGTCCTCGCCTAGTGTGATAACCTCCTCCCCTCACTCCCATCCACGGGAATCCATCGCCAGTCCCTCCCGCCCGCTCCCACTCCTATCAAGGCTACGAATCCCAGGAGCTCCTTCCCTGCAGCCACCAGCCCAAGCCTGAGCCCAGGACAGGGGCCCAAGGTGCACCTGGGACAGAGGCTTGCCGGCAAGGTGCCTTCAGGGCAGGGTGTCCAGGACAGCGTATGGAACAAGAGACACAACCCAGGACGGAGGTCAGAGTGCCTGTCCATCAGCGCTCCAGTGAAGCATTGTGATAAAAATGTTTCCTTCTATCCGGGCTCATTTATTCATTCACAAATATTGACTACTCAATCAATATAAATACCAGGCACGGAGTCTTAGTTCATTCAGGCTGCTATAACAAAATACCAAAATACCATAGACTGGGTGGCTTCCAAACAACAGAGACTGGTCTCTCGCAGTCCTGAAGGCTGGAAGTCCAAGATTCCCGGTCTGGTGAGAGCCCACTTCCTGGCTCACAGACGACCACCTTCCCCCAAGGCGTCCTCACGGGGCAGAGTGGGAGGGAGCTCTCTAGGGTCTCTTTTTAACAACCACAGCTCCCTTTCATGAGAGTTCTTGACCCGATCCCTTCCCAAAGGCCCTACCTCCTAATACCATCACCCTGGGGGGTAGGACTTCAACATTCCAATTTGGGGGGACAGCCTATCCATACCAACCCTATCACCCTTTTTCTAAAAAGCTATAATTTGCAAACCATAAAGTTTAGCGCTTAAAAATGTCCAACTAGTGGCTTTTAGTACGTTCACAGATCTGTACAGCCATCACTGGGATCCTTCCATCGCCCCAGAATGAACCCCTCACCTGTTAGTAGTCACTCCCCTCTCCCCTCTCTCCCTGCCCCTGGTAACCACTAATCCACTTTCTATCTCTATGGATTTGCCTATCCTAGACATTCCATAGCAATACAATTATATAATACGTGACCTTTTGTGTCTGGCCTCTTTCACGTACCATCACTTAACATGTTTTCAAGGTTCAGCCATGCTGTAGCGTTTAGCAATACTTTAGTCCTTTGTTTTCCTTTTAAAAATAGCATTATTGAGGTGCAATTGACATGTATGAGATAGAGCTGTACATTTTTTAACTGTACAATTCGATCAATTTTGATTTACATATAGACTTATGAAACTGTCATCGCCATCAAGATAATGAGCATTGGCATCACTCCCGTATATTTTTTTCAAAGTGTATATTTTAGAGCAGTTCGGGTCACAGCACAACTTAGCAGAAGGCAGTGTTCCCCTATACTTTCCACTCCCCCTTCCACGGCCTCCCCCGCTATCCACACCCAACACCAGAGTGGTGTGTGGGTTGTAGTCAGCGAACTTACACCGACACGGCATTGTCATCCCAAGTCCGTAGTTTACATTAGGGCCCGCTCTTGGTGGTGTATATTCTATAGGTTTTTACAAATGTATAAGGACATGTATCCAGCATTATAGTACCATACAGAGAACTTTCCCTGCCCCCAAGATTCTGTGCCCCACCCATTCATCCCTCCCTCCTCCCAACCTCTGGCAACCACTGATCTTTTTACTGTCTCATAGTTTTGCTGTTTCCAGGATATCATATAGTTGAAATCATAGAACACATAGTCTTTTCAGATAGAAATTTTTCACTTAGTAATATGCACTTAAGGTTCTCCCATGTCTTTTCATGGTTTGGTAGTGTCTTTCTTTTTACCATTGAATAAATATGACATCGTCTGAATGGACCACGGTTTACTAATCTATTCACCTACTGGTGTCCTTACGTTTTTGAAAAGAGTCCTTATTTTTTTTAGAGATAGATACTAAGCTTTTGTATGTGAAATGGTGTCTGGGATTTGCTTCAAAATAACACCAGAGAGGGAAGCAGGTGGGGACATAGATGAAATAAGGTTGGCCAAGAGTTTATGCCTATTGAAATTGAGAGGTAGATACAGGCGAATCATAATAGTGTTCTACCTCTCGTGTATTTTTTTAAGTTTTCCCTAATACATCATTTTATTTGTTTAAATATTTTATTTATTTATTTTGGGGGGGGAAGGAGAAAGAGAAGGAGAGAAACATGGATGTGCGAGAGAAACAGCGATCGATTGCCTCTCGCACGCCCCCAACTGGGGACCTGGCCTGCAACCCAGGCAGTTGGCAGGCCGGTGAGCAACCCACTACGCCACACCCGCCAGGGCTGAAGAGTCATTTGGAAAGCCGTGACACACAGGCACACATTACCCACCGGTGACTCCCCGTCCTCTGCAAGGAGGGCTGCAAATCAGCTGTCAGCCTCTCCTTCCAGTCTCACATAGCTTTACCACTGTCATGCCGCCAGACGCCCAATGTTTTGGCGCCACGTTCACAGTCCTCCGGTCTGGGGGTCCTGTCTCACCCACCTGCACCTCTGCCGCCCCTCCCCTCCAGCCCCACAGGACTCCCCGCTCTTGGAAAGTGTCGTTCTTTCACTCATCCGAGAAGCTGAAGCTCTGCCGAGGGGCTCGCCGCTGGCCTTCAGCTTCCAGCTTCCTGGCCGGTCTTGCTGCAGCTCCAACAGCTCTGTGGCTCCAACACCCAGCACAGAGCAGGACACACAGTGGAGGGCCGTGCAGTTCCTGCCGAACAGGTGTTTGCTGAATGGGATTTCCCCTGCTCATGAGGACGCAGTCCCTGGGCAGATTGGGGTAAGGAAGGAGGACATGAGATGGAGAAGACAGTGATGAAGGGGATCCTCAGGGTTCCCGGTGGATGGCGCCAGCTGGTTCCAGGCACGGGCACCCAGCAACTCCAGCTACAGCCACCAGAGAGCAGCGCCAGCCCGCACACCACCACCGTGCAGCTCCCTCAGGAGCGGCGGCCGTCGCCCCACAGAAGAGGCAGAGTGGGCCAAGGGACCCATTTTACAGACAGACACCAAGGCTCAGACCCGGGGTTGCTCTTCAAGGAAACATTTGGGCCCAGCTGATGTCTGCCATAGCCCAGGAGGCCCAGCAGGCGCCTCTGGAGGGCGTCATTTGGTCTCGTGCCCCTTCCCACCTGCTGCTGCTCTGACCCAAGAGGTCAGCAGGGCAGAGTCCCTCAGCCTCCTGCCTTCCCTCCCGATATGTTCCCTCCCGATATGTGCCCTCCCTCCCGACAGGGACCCTCCAACTCCTGCTGGACCAGAGAGAGGACAGAAGGAGGCGCACCGACTCGCCAGGCTGTGAGACTGGCACACCCCCCACTAGAACCATGAACTTGGGGCACAGTCACTCTGATGCCCAGCCTCGGGCAGCACACACCTGGCTCCGACCACTCCCTAGGCCTGACCTTGGAAAAAGTCACTGGGGACAGGGCACCCCATGGCAAGAGCCCTTGAGGGTCAGAACCAGGGGTCCAGGCAGGCCAGGCTCTAGAACTACCTTCTGTATCTGAAGAGGGCGCAGGACAGAGAGGGTGTCCAAGGTCTCCCCTGCCCCCCCCTCCTGCTTGTCTCCTGCAGGCCTGGGGGGGCTCTCCTCCCTCTCCTGACCTCTCTTCCCCTACCAGCACCGAGGCTCCTCCACCCCTCAGGGCTCCCTCTTTGTTCCCCCTGCCAGGACCCTGGCCAGACTCCTGGGGCACTAAGTCTCTGAGCCCTTCCCCTGGCCTGGGACAAGGATATGGAATATTTTGGGGACCTGAGCCTCTCAGCCTGCTGTCTTCTGTTTTCTAGGACCCCCTGGCAGGGACAGGGAAGGGAGAGAAGCAGGGAGAGAAAGCAGAAAGGGTTACCTGGGAGGCGGTGAGGGTGGGGCTCCCGCAGGGACAGCCAGGCCTTCAGGAGAGGGCAGCTCCGTCCGCCATTCTGATCCAGCCGGGCTCTCTCCCACCTGCCGGCTCTTGTCTTTATGGAGCCCGTGCAGCCTGCAGGCTCACTCCCGCTCACCTCGGCCCTTGTTCAGAGGTCCGCCC